AACAACAGTGACAATGATGTTAAGTACCTCTGATGCCCCGCTATCTCTGTGGCCTCAGTTTTCTCCTCTGTAAAATGGGTGTGGGTAAGCTTTGCATCAGATGATCTCCGAGATCCCTGCCAAACCTCAGTTGCTGATTTAAAAGGTACTCCTTTTTTCACAGGGGCCTGGGAGAAGGCCAGTCCTCAGACGTGTGTGCTGGAGCAGCACAAAGACTCAGAGCTGGATACAGCCCACCCTGACCTTGGGGCTGACACAAGCAAGCACACCCCAGAACAGGGACGATGCAGAAGCCAGTGCACAGACGGGGTGAGGGAGTGGGGGCAGCTGACAGCCTTCTGAACCCCTGGGTGGGTGGCTCTGGTGCAGCCCTGCTGCTGGGATGCAGGCTGGGGTGGAGGGAGGCTGTAGACCAGTGGCACTTGGGCTTCACGGAGAAGCAAGCCCACCACATCGCCATTTATGACAGCTTTTCCATAAGGGTTGATTTCTGTCCCTCCGGAACAGGGCTTGGTGTGGAGGGGGCGAGGTGCCAAAGCCGGGGAGAGAAAGGGGGATTTTAATCATAAACCAGCAGTGTTTTCCGAGACCAAGACCAGGCTGGGAGCTCTGTGGTGGGGGCCTGGGGAAGGATAGGTTAGGATTTCGCAGGCAGAGAAGAATGCAGAAGGGCATTCCAGGTGAAGCAAGAGCTCCCGGCAGCTGATGTGTGGTAACAGCCCTTGTGCTCAGAGCCGGGATGCATGTGTGTTTGGGGGAGAAGCCGTGTGAGGCCAGAAAGTTAACTTGTGTCCAGGGAGTGCGTGTGGAGGGTCCTATGTGCTGGGCTCAGAGTTAACCTCCAGCCTGTCTGCCTCTGAAGGCCTTTGAAGATTTGTTTACTGCTTTGTTAATAAATATGTATTGGATGCTTTTTATTACACAGACACTCGTGGCCACAGTAGAACGTACGGAAGGGAAAGGAAAAAGAGCTTTAAAGAAGGACGAAATCCCCAGAGATACCCGCTGGAGGGGGCCGCGATGCCTGGCGTTTCCAGGGAGACCTCCATCTCTCTCTCCAGTGGGCCAGCAAGGCCTGGGGCTGATGTCCTCCTTCAAAGAACTTCCTGGAAAAGTCCTGGCATTGGGGCAAGAGACCCCAGGGACTCGGGAACGCAAGGGTCCAGGAAGCCCTAGCAGCCAGGCAGGCTAAGGCGCCAGCAGCCCCGCCCTCACCACCCAGGCTCTCCTGCAGGGCAGCCTGAGGTCTCCACCCCGCCCCAGTTCCCAGGACAGCGGCGCGCGCAGATCCTGGAGGGCGCCCAGGGGGCGGCGGCTCTGGACGCGCGGCTTCCACGTCTGCTGCTGGGGCCGTCCAACCGCGCAAGTCGGCGAGCAGAGGGTTGGGCTGATCGCCCCGGGCCGGCGGCGCCTCATGCTGTGCGCCAGCGGAGAGGCAGAAACCGAAGGCTGCAAGGTGGGTTCTGGGGAGGAAGGAGGAGGGAGCTGAGAGGAAGGTGCCGTGGGCGCTCCCGCTCCTCTGCCCAGCAGCCTGGTGGGGGCAGCGCTTCCTGCCTGCTGTCCCTGCCGTGCCTGCAAGTGTGTGCAGCACATGGAGTTCCTGGGAGGCCACCTGTGGGGTGGGGGCCTCAGGGGAGCAGCTGGGCTCCCCTGCTGTCCCCAAGCCTGGCTTGCACGTTGCCCCATGAGCTCAGAATCCTGCAGGGACTGGAGGAGGCCCAGAAGTCCTGGGGCTGAGATCCGAAGGGACCTCAGTGGCCCTGCTGCCAGACCCAGACTCTTTATTTTACCGATGAGGAAACTGAGGTTCAGAGTGGTGACATGACTTGCCCAGGATGGCAGGTCTGGAAACCAGAACTCCTCATCTGGAGGTCGGTGCTCCCTGGAGCCCATGCCACGGAGCCAGGACAGCAGCAGGAACAAAGAACTGGGAGAGACAGAGTCAGAAATAGAAAGAGACAGAAAGAGAACCTCCCTAAGCAAAGGAAGGTCAGGAAATGGGGCGACACTTCCTCCCTGGCCCCGCTTGAGCTGTGTTCTGGCCGCGTGACTCAGCCGGCCTTGCTGACTCTGACCTAGGTGTGTTCACCTGTGCGCGCGCGCACGTGCGCGCACGTGTGTGTGTGTGTGTGTGTGTGTGTGTGTGTGTGTACAGCCCAGCTGTGGGAGAGCCCTCTGATGCCACGTCTGTCCACGTACACACATTGTTGGGAACTTGCCCTGCGTTTGGCTCTGAGGAGGATTCCAGGAATCCCCGGGGAAGTAGCTCGGCGTGGCTCCGGAGGGCAGGAGGGGCCCCGGGGTGGGAGTCCCCGGCAGCGATCCGAGTCTCTGAGAAGAGCCTAACTCACAAGGCCGTGCATTCCCGTCTCCGGAAGAAACCAGCATGTGTGGAGGAACATTTTATTAAGGCTGTGGGTGCAGGGCTATGAAACTAGAGCAGCGTATTCTGCAGAGAACTGGAATTTTAATTCAAGGGTCCGGGGTTCGTGTCCTTTTTCAGGTGAAATTAACACGCACGGCCGCGTTGGGTGGTGCTTCCCCGTGAGAGCTGCTCTGGGCACATCTCTGGATGGTGAGTGAGAGGGCTCACGCCTGTCCTCCGAGGTCCCCTGGTGTCTCAGTCTGGACTGTAAAGAGGCATGAGTGCCCTGAGTCTCAGGCGAGTTTGGAGGAGGGAGGTCACTTCTGGGCAGAGACGGCCGGATGGCCCCTGGAGGTGGCACTGAGGCCGGCCTTGAGGAGGAGGCTGGAGCTGCGCACTTGTGGGGAGGGGCTCCTGAGCAGAGTCAGGGAGGTGGCTGTGTCTAGGACAACGCAGTGGACGGTGTGGTGAGGAATGATGGTTGGGACCAGATGGTGGAGGGCCTGGAGGGTCAGGCTACGGAATGGGCACTTGTTTACCGGTCCTGGGCATATTTGGATGGTCCTGAGAAGGGTCTGAGGTCCCTGGGAGAAACAGCCTGTCACAGGCCAGGGCCCGTGGGAGGGCCTTTTCACCCAGGAGCTCACGTCATCCTCCCCACAACCTTATGAAGAGGTTATTACTACTGTCTCCATTTTGTAGAGGAGGAAACTGAGAATCAGAGAAGTCAAGAACTTGTCCAAGGTCACACAGCAAATAAGCTGAGGGCAGGGCATGAACCCAGAGAAAGCTGAAATAGGTCCAACCTAGTAGCTGAAGAAATGTCAGAGGCCTGGGCAGAGGAGACCGTGGCGAGGGGGCCTGGGGTTCTGGTTCCTGACAGGGCACCCCATGTGTGGAACAGGGTCAGGTTTGGTGCTGATGGGAGATGGGAGGGCCTGTGACGGTCCAGCACTGGGACGGGGCTGCGGCGGCCATGGTTCTGCACCCCCTGCCTCCAGGCGTCCTGTTGTGAATTTGCTGAGCCCACAGGTGTCTGGGGAGCTGGGGGGCGGCTGGCGGGGGATTCCCCAGGGATCTAGCAAGTCAGGCGCTGAGGTCCCAGCCGCACACAACAAGCGTGAGTTCTGTGTCCAGGCACTGGGGGCTCGGGCGTTTGCCGTGACTCCTCGGGGGAGAAATAGTTGGGTTGTCCTGCTGTCCCAGGCCTTGGTTCCCTCCTTGGTTCCCTGCGGAAAGGGCTGGGGAGGGGGTGTGGCTCAGTGGTGGGGCACGTGCTTAGCATCCACAAGGTCCTGGGTTCAATCCTCCATTAAAAATGAACAGTAGCAAGCCTGCCCGGCTAGCTCAGTTGGTAGAGCATGAGACTCTTAATCTCAGGGTCGTGGGTTCGAGCCCCACGTTGGGCGCAAGTTTCTTTTAATCATCTGTCTGGATTAAAACAGTTCTTTGCTCTTTAAGAAAATACCAAAAACTCCGATAATGAAAATTTATAAAAAATAAATAATAATAAATAAATCAATAAACCCAATTACCCCCCAAAATAATTTTTAAAGAATTTATTTTTAAAAATTATAAATAAATAAATACATACACATTTTTTTTTTTAAACGATGTGAGCCCAGCCGTGGAGATGGGTTTGCAGAATACTGTGGACTTCCACAGGTGCAGTTTCAGGATCCTAAGAATGGGGCCAGGCCTCTTACAGTGTCATAGCATCTGGGTGATCTGGGAACAAGTGTGCCCTGTTCTACAGATGGGGAAACTGAGGCTTCAGAATCCACGGTCCTTCCCCGGTGGTTAGCGTGTGGCAACGCAGGTGCAGACCCGTGGGCTCCAGACTCTCTCGGCTGCCATGGGGGCGGCAGCTGTAGGAGGGCAGCCTCCAGCCTCTCCCATAAAATCGGGCAAGGAGGGGGTTTCCCAGACAGGCCCCAGCACTGGACGGACTGTTCCAAACTGTCTCTTTTTCCCCCTTAAACAACACATGCTCCCACCCGTGCACAAAATGGGAAATTTTTTCCACTCACCCACCTAGTGGGCAAGCAGTTTCTTTGATGTCTCACACAGTCTCCTGTCCTCGAAGGGAGGCGTGGTGAGGCCTCGTCTGGTCGGAGGGCCAGAAAGCGTCCCACCCCAGGCGCAGGGCCCAGGAAGAGAAAAGGGAGAAAGAGAAACAGTGCGCTGACAGCAGGGGCAGAGCACCGCTGGGACCCACGCTCTGGGGACCTGGCTGTCCGATGCTCAGAGGGGCAGCGTGGAGCAGGGAGGTGACCAAGGAGAAAGACCAGAGCTGGCCAGTCTCACCGTTTGTCGTGAAACCCGCCCACGTTTTAGAGTGAAAGGGAGAGTGTCGGTAATGACGCTGGGACAAGGGCCGAAGCCAGGATGTCGCGGGCATCGTCATCCTCACGACACCCAGCAGGCATTGAGCACCAGACAGGGATTTGCTTGTTTAAGCCTCACTATGACCCTGTCGGGCAGGGACTGCGATCAGCCCCATTTTATAGGAAAGTTAAGTGAGGGACAGAGAGGCAAAGCAACGTGCCCACCGTCACACAGCCAGTGACTGGTAGCGGCAGGATTTGCCCCGGGCGGTTTGGCTGCGCCAGAGCTCCTGAGCTTTTGGCCCTTGTCTTCCCTACATGTGCTCACAGCGGCCGATTTAGCACAATTTCATCCGCGCTTGGGCGGGGGTGGCGGGGAGGAAGCACCCTGCAGCTCCTGCCCGTGCGGTCTCTGTGCCTGCTGAGTGCCTCTCTGGTTCTTTCTTCCTTGCAACCCCTCTGCCTGTGTAGACGAGGTCACCAGGACCTATGGACTAGATCAGACACAGGAAGGCCCTCTTGAAGGCCAGTGCGGGGATTGGGTTCCCAAAACCCTTGTCTACCTGGGTGGACTCGCGGGGGCCACCGTCTGAGAGACAAAGTGACATTCAGGGCCTCTCTCGGCTTGAGGGCTGTGAACTTTTCTTTGGGGCGGGTCCTTCCGGAGACATTGCCTGCCCTTGGTCTGTTGGCTCTGGCTCTCAGCCTCGGTTTCTCCAAATGTCAGCGGGCTCTTTCTCCCCCTGCCTGCTTGTCGGCTCATCCTTGACAGGCCTGTGTGGCCGAGGGAGGCAGTCACAGGGGCAGCCGAGTCTGACCCTGGCGGTGCTCCGGGCATTTCTGGGAGACGCAGGGAGGGAGGTGGGAGCAGATTCCAAGGGTCTCTGACCCCATTGAGCCTGTACTGAAGGCCCCTGATTCATGAAGTAGAGCAGCCCTGCCTGGGGCTGGAAAAATGCTGAGCCCGAGAGACGGCGGGAGGGTGGGCGCTTGGCAGCAAGGTTGGTTGGCTAAATCCCAGCCCCCTGCTCAGGCCCCCGGTTCCGTGCTCTTCCGTGTCCTGCTGGGCTGAGCAGAAAGGTGAGCCGGGCAGACAGCGCACCTGCTGTGGGTGTGCTGGGAGCTGCCGGGCCGGGATCCAGCGGCGCGGACGCCTGCCTCCAGACCTGCACCTGCATTTCTGGTCCGGCGGCTTCCTTCACTCCCTTGTCAACCCCAGCGGCCCCAGGGGAGGGAGGGGCCGGCTCCAGTGGCTCAGTTACCGGTGCAGACAGAGGAAAGTCTCCTCTTACCTGGGCCAAAGGCTTCTTGTCACTGTACTTACTTTAGCCGCAGCTCCATGTTGCGCTCCGGGGTTTGCCGCGTTCTGCTGGGAAATGGATGGGAACTGAATCCACACAATCACACGCCCTTGCCCACTGGTATGGACGGTTGGATTGGTGCCGAGGCAGGGGAGGGAGACGCACTTCCTGCAGCCCCATCCTGAGCAAACACGGGCCTTCGGGAACCCTCCTCCCACTGCGCCCCGAGGCCTGGTGGGCAGAAGTGCACGCTGGGAGCTTGGCTCCAGCGAGCTCACTCGGTCCTTATTACGCCCCGAGACAGAGCTGCTGTGATCTCTATTCTCATGTGGCGGGTGAGGGCCAAGGCCCCCGCGCTGGAGTGACTTGCCGGCGGCCAGGCAGCTAATAAGAGGCTGAGCTGGGGGTTGAACCCAGGCAGCCTGGCCCCAGGACCACGTCCTCAACCACCCCCAGCCCGCTC